AAAAAAAAAAAAAAAAAAAAAAAAAAACCAACAAAAAAAAACCAGGCAACTAATGTGTAGGCAGAATCCAAAGGCCAAGTTAAATGAAATTACACCTAAAACAATACAGCTACCACAAACTACACTGTTCTCAAAACCATCATTTAGTTTTATCAACTCATAGAAGTGCAAAAGCAAACTACTGACACAGCAGCTCAGCATGCAAATCCAATACGATCAAGGCATGGACTTCCACTAGAAGACAGTCACACTTAATGGGTCAAACACACAAACGTGGCAGAGCAAGGAGGTACTGTTCCAGTACTGGTTTAAAAATGATCTGCCCTCTGTGGTGATGGGTGTTTTACAAAACATTAATCATCTAATGGTGGCTTTTTTTTCTTTTTTTTCTTTTTTTTTAAACAAAGAAGAGAACCATTAAACACCTAATACAAAGAGATAAAACTATCATCACAGAACTACAAAGTACTACAAGGCAGAACAGAAAATACAGTATTTGTAAGAAAACACAGTTTGGAAGGAGGAAATGTGTGTATTTGGTGTATATTCTTTTTTTTCCCCCTCCTTTCTCAAAGCTTTTTTAAAAGGGAATATTAACTCACATAAAATCTATCTTCATATGCTGCATATATATGATATATTAGCTATTAATGCTGCCATTGTTACCTATGAATTTTCCAAGTCATTTTTCTTCACTAACTGTGCACAACCATGTACACATTCTGAACTATGCGAATTCAGGATTACAAAACTAAGAAAATCAAACTAAGATGAACTGAAATATGATGTACTATGAGAACTCTAATTTCTCCCAGAGAAGGAGTAAATTATCTTTTCCAAGACATTATAAATAATACAGGTGTATTTTAACTTGCATCCACATTTCAAATTAAAAAAAAAGCTGCCTGAATAAAACCTGATGACCAACCAAAATGTTTCTTTAATAAGTCTGTAACAGCAGAAACTTCCCTCTAAAATACTTAATTTTATTAGTGAAATGGTAACAAAGATAACAAGTACACAAACAACCTCTTTGCTCTACGCTACTTACACATCATAAATAAGACAGCTGTTGCTGCAAGACACAATCCTTCACAACCTTCCTTTAAGCATACAGATTTGTCATTCTTTTATCAGAGTAAGCTGTTAACCAACCATCAGCACGTGGCTTAAACATCACAAAAATGACTGTCTATACTTTACATGGTAAAGCATTTTCTATAGTCTTAAATGTACACAGTGGGAAGAACACTAAATCCTATCAAAAATGACAAGTGATTAAGCAGCTTCACAATCAAATTAGGTTTCATTACCTTAGGAATTGGACAAATTTTTCGTTCCCTGTATTATGCTTTTTAAAAATTATTTTCATAAGAATTAACTATGCAAAAGAAAAGGAAATTGAAGGCAAACTGCTAGTATCCTATTAAGCCTTTTTTAATTTCTAACTGAATGAAACTCCTTCCATGAGGTAAGGCAATTAATTCATTTGATTGTAATAAGGTGTATAATCTACCTGATTTTAGGTATAAGTAAGTTTGTAAATATGACTCTTAAAAAATCTCACAACAATGAAACTGGTTACATTAGCTCAGACAGCACAAATTATGGTTTTACTTGAAAAAAATACCGGCTTTGTCATTTGCTTCTTACATGCTTTCTCACCAAAGAATGAAAAAAGATTATCTAACATATAACTCCTATGTAAATTAGAACATTTCTTCCCCAACTATTTTCCACCCCCAGCTCTGCATTAAATTCATTGTACAACACCTGATGGATATCAGAGAAAAGGATGGAGAGGTAACTGTTAAGGCCATCCAAATGTAATTAGTATCTTAAGGGCTGCCTGTGATGCAGGTGTTCAGAAAATACGCTGTATTCAGCTACTATCTTTGTACAGTGGTGGTCCCCAAAATGCATCATTACATTTACTCTATCTTTTCTGAAAATAAAAAATAATTGTAAAAATGGACCTGTTCTACTTAAATAAGTGAACTAAACATCCATTCTGAAAAATTACTTGCACTCTTGTCTGTAGTATGGTAGTGGCAAAACAGCAATAGAGATGATGCAAGATTTAGCTGAAAATGTTATAGCACATACATATTTCTTGAAAATACCACATTTTAAGAAGGCACTAAAGCTTATGCTTGTGCTCTCAAATTTTTTAAACAAATAAGAAAAAATTTAATTTCATAATGGCACCTGTACCATTTGCAGCTGAACAGACATACTGCAGTACATGTCAAAAAAACAAAGCTGTTAAGTTCTCCTAATATACAGATGTGCTCAGTTGTGGAACAGAAGAGAACAACAAAACAAAACAACCTGAAAATAACTCAATAAGCTAACCTGTTATCATCATACATGGCAATGTTCCTTTTAGGAACAGAAAAGTAGCATGCATTGTTCAAATACTTTAAGCAAATACTGACTTTAGGGATATTGGTAAGAAATTATTTTAGATAATAAAACCCACAAACCTCAAGCAGTGAGCAAATGAAGAACATACTAGTAATTGGGCATATATCATAAGAACCATAAAAACTTTTCCAACAGCTGTCATTTACACCAAAAGAAAGTGTGTACATTTATGCACCACTTCCAAGCACATAAAAAAGTACACACTGAAGTTTCTGTGGACTTCTTAACCCACAAAGTAAAATAACACAAAATTCATCAACAAGCAACATTTTAAAACAACTTTCAATGTTTATCTTCAGCTTTTTTTTTTTTTTTTGTTTTTTTTTTTTTTTAGGGGTAGTAAAGGTTTACTTCTTTCAGTTCCTATTTAACAGCCTATGGCTAAACTTAACATAAATCATTTTACCTATAAGTACAGCCATCATGGAAATGCATGGAGTTTCAGAGATGAATAGCTCTGATGACATATGCTTTTGCATGGTGTAACTACTGGTCTGTGCTTTCCTGCTTTACAGCAAGAAGACAACAAAGCTATCACAAGAATTGAAAGAGCTCTTAGTGCTATCAACATGGTCAGGTTGATTGCTTTGACGTTTTCTTCCTCATTCTGGGAATAAGCTTTGGATTTCATTCCTTAGTTGAGACAGAGGTTGATTCTTTGCTTTAAACCTCTTCCATTTTAATTGAGAGGTTATCTTCGTTTGGTTGACAGTTTCCATTCTGCTGAAGTTTGACTTCATCTGTCCTTTGTGTATCTCTGTTGTCAACATCTTTGTCAGTTTCTGAATTCTGATCCTCTTTAGCGTGATCTTTGTCCTGTCAAAGACAAAATCTTTCTCTCAGCATTAAGGGATATGACTTCCAATTAACTGCTGCTATTCTGGCTTCCTCAATTTTTCATCATACTTAGTATCAGCAATTTAAAAAAATGTTAGTAGATACATCAGCAACTTCAGGTGGCTGAAGTCCGGCATCATAATCAAGTGTTGCTGAAGAAATCACTGTGGTAGAGTGATCTGTCTTTACCTCTAATATCCACATAAAACAAATAAACAATACAGTGGAACTTACATTAAGAATTCACCATATATTGTGAACAAAGCAAGATTACAATTTTCGTTTCATGTATTTTGTGACTCAACTCATGCATTTTACCTTCAGTTCTTCAGTAAGTGTTCACATAGCATAGACATCAGACATCTTATAATAGCTGAATCACTATGAGTACAACAAGCTACCCTTTAAGGGCACACTGCTTTTCAAAACAGAGGTTTAATAATTTGAAGATTATTCTTTCCTTAATCACACCACCTTCTATTTTGCAAGGGAAAATCCCACACTATTCTTCCCCAGATCTTCATTTTACTTCCTGCAGAGTTCAGCACACAGCCCAGGACCAAAGCAACCAGGGACAGGCTGCACTGCAGAGTGAAAATGTCCCAGAAGCCTACTGCTTAATCTACACATCAGCTTCCTGGATCTTTCCACAGTTAGGCAACCAACCAAGCCTTAAAATATGGCAACAAACAGAAAAGAGAGAGAAACAATAACATTGTGTTTTTGTAGACTATACATACAAGTTCCTAGTGGTCGAATAAAGTTTAAACACAAAAGTTGGCCTACTAACATCTCACAGAAAACAACTTTCATCTCCTGCTAGCAGAATCTAACCTCAATTGTTTCAAGAGGCAATAATTCGCTGAGGAGAAAAGGGAAAATGAAAAGAAAGAAAAAGAAAGCAGGATATTCCAGTTATCACTCCTTCTGCAGCTCTCTACTCTATTTATAATCGCTTGATTGCAGAGCTTACCTTCAAAGTAGTGGTGCTTTTGTCAGATTTCTCCCTTCCCTCTTTCTCTTTACTACTTTTTTTCTTGGAAGTGGAGCGTTCTCTTTCTCTTCCTTCATTATATGTATCTCGTTCTCTTTTTTTCTCTTTCTTGTTTCTGTTCAAGAACATTTTCATTCAAATTAAATGATCCAAAAGCAGCAAATGAACTACCAGAGCTTACATGAACTGTATTGCACAGTACACTGCACAGAAGAGTAACTAAAAATATTGGTATCCTGGTTTCTCTATGAAAGGTTTTGACCATCTTCAAACCATTTAGTTGATAAATAAATAAATAAATAAAATAAAAATAATAAATCCAAAACATAACAGCGGCATAGGAACAAGAGGATTTTCTGACTGAAAAGAGCTAAGGAACACATGTTTAGAGTGCACAGTGTGAGCAAAGAGAAAAGTGAATTAAACTGTACTTGAGGAAGAGCTCCTAAGAGAACATCTGTCTCACTGACAGACAGATGACAATTCAAAGTGTAACACTTAAAATCCCTGAAGTTCTTGAAGTTCTGTTTGTTTTTTTGAATTAAAACTGCATCACACTGACCAACAGAAATTGTCTGCATCCACTTTTTATTAGATAACTCTTTGCACTAAAAAAAAAAAAAAGAAGAAGAAGAAATTGACTCCTTTTTTCCAGAATATTGATCTTTATGTTTTGTTGAATTGAAATACAACATTGTATCTTCTTTATTGCTCACTAATGTTTATTTACATCAAACTGACCTTCTTGGAGAAGGAGTTCGTGAAGACTTTCTTTTTGTTCCTTTGGATGTTTTAGGAGACTTAGAAAGACTTCTACTCTTCCTCTTACGCCTTTCTCTGCATAACAAAAAAATTCCACATAAGCAAAAACCAACAAATAATAAACTCAGGAATTGTATAAAATCTCTTAAAAAGAACTGTCATAACAGCTAAGTAAATACTCCTGAGTTTAACATTATATACAATGATTTCTACACTACACAAAGCAGAAGAACTTTTTCATGTTTCAGAGTGGCGAGAAAAGGGAGAATACAAGCATGAAGTGGAAAAAAAGACTGTCATTTTAGATTTCAGTTTCATGCTTACCCACCCGTGCTTGTAACTTAAACCTCACAAATGAAACATTTACTAATACTGTATTAAATAAGAATTTCTTCAATCAGGAGAAAACTCGAATTGAATGAAGAGCCACATATACACAAAAGGTATAACTTCAGCAATATGAACTTCAGAACTTAGAATTAAACACTCAGGATTACCAGAATTTCAGTTCAGCATGACTGAAGTTCAGAAGCAAATACTGCATAATGAAGTTTAAGCTGTTGTTGAAATTAAAACAGGCCATTTTCTATTTATTCTTTGCCTAACACTCTATGCTCAACAAACACAGCTCAAAACAGCTTCAGATACATTTGCTCAGTTTCTATTCTGGAATCTGGTTTTGAATACAATAGAACATTTATTAGCTGGTTAACATATACTGAGGCACATGTTAAAATACATCAAAAATCGAGAAAGTAAAGCTTTGTTCAACAAAAATGCAAAACCTCTAGCTATCAAAGATAACTCTTTCCTCTCTCTTCATAGAATAGGGTAAGGAAACAGGAAGAACTACTGATGCAGAGCAGGAAAAATTAAAACTAGCTGTGAGTCCATTTCAACATATTCCACGAAAGACACAATTATGCATTCCAGCATCTGCCATTAACATCTAATTTCTCTGATGTTTATAAAGTGCAAGGAATCAAAAGTTATTAGATGAATCACAGGAGGATATATTAAGACCTGTTTTTTTAAAACTAACTAGATTCATTTCATCTGCAATTTCATCTAGCCTAAACTTCTGAAGGACAAGAGCTTCATGGTACAAAATTTCAGAGATAATTTTGTTTAGTAGGATCATAAGATTGATTTGATATTTGGTAAACAGAAATAAAAAGTAGTCACAAGGTTACACTGAGATAACACTGGTTTACTGTTAACATGCATCTCATCTTGAACACTCCCACGTTTATCAGTACATTTTTTCATATAAGGATTTTGGAAACGCATTTTTATCCATGGATAAAATGGATATTTATGTTGCTTTCCTGCATGTCTGTGAATAACTAGGTAACTTGTGTTCAAACAATAACAAAACTGTATTTTCAGATTCTGATTTTTAAGTGCCAAGTAGGCAAAGTCAATCGGCAAAGTCAATCACCAAAGTAAACAGACTCGCTTATATACAAACTAACTGGGGCTTAGCAGCCTAACTTATTGTCAGATACTTCTTGAGACAATAATAGTTACTGAAGTTGGAAGAGCTCCGTGAAATTCACCTAACCATATTCCAGATCTCAATGAAAACAAAGTCAACGACAGTAGATTACTTGGGGACACATTTAGTCAGGCTTTGTGTATCTCTATGGACTGAATCTCCTCAGTCTTCCTGGACAACGTTCTGGGCTTCCCAGAAAATAAAACAGAAAACAACAAAACAAAAGAACACCACCACAATTTAAGCATTATAAATAAATGTTTTTCTGTATTTCAGTATCGCAAAATCACAGAATGTCAGGGATTGGAAGAAACCCTGAAAGATCACCTAGTCCAACCCACTGCCTGTGCAGGAACACCTACATCAGGTCACACAGGAACATGTTCAGGAAGGCTTTGAATGTTTCCATAGAAGGAGATCCCACAAGCTCTCCGGGCAGCCTGTTCCAGTGTTCTGGTTACCCTCATAGTGAAGAAGTTTTTCCGCATATTTATGTGGAACCTCCTATGTTCCAGACTGCACTGACAGCCTCTTGTCCTGTCAATGGATTTCAATGAGAAGAGCCTGGCTCCATCTTCCTGACACTCACCCTTTACCTATTTATAAACATTAATGAGGTCACTCCCCCGTCTCCTCCAAGCTAAAGAGACCCAGCTCCCTCAGCCTTTCCTTGTAAGGGAGATGCTCCACTCCCTTAATCATCTTTGTGGCTCTGAGGTGGACTCTCTCAAGCAGTTCCCTGTCTTTCTTGAACTGAGGGCTCCAGAACTAGACACAATACTCCAGATGCAATCTCACCAGGGCAGAGGGGCGGGGAAGGAGAACCCCTCTCAACCTACTAACCATACCACTTCTAATACACCAAAGGATGCCACTGGCCTTCTAGGCCACAAGGGCACAGTGCTGGCTCATGGTCATCTGCTGTCCATCAAGACCTCCAACTCTCTTCCCCCTACACTGCTCTCCACAGTTCAGTACTCAACCTATATTGGCACTTGAGGTTGTTTTTGCCCAGATGCAGGACTCGACTTGTCCTTGCTATATTTCATTAAATTTCCCTCTGTCCAATTCTCCAGCCTGTCCAGGACTTGATGAATGTCAGCACAGCTTTATGGCCTGTCAGCCACTCATCCCAGTTTTATGTCATCAGCAAACTTGCTGACAGTGCATTCTATTCCCTCACTCATCCAAGTCGTTCATGAATATACTGAGTAGTACTGGTCCCAGAACCAACCCTTGAAGGACTCCACAAGAGTCCTTCAACTAAACTCAGTCCCACTGACCACAACTCTCTGGCTTCCTTCCTTCAGCCAGGTCACAGTCCACCTCAACACCTTAATTGTCCAGACCACAATATGTGTCTACTTCTTTTAGCTCTTTTACTGGCCATTAAGAAGAATCTGTCTCCACTCTTCTTACAGTCTTCATTTACACTCTCCCACTAGAAACTTGTGTGTTTTCTTAGAACGTTCCTCAGCCTTCTCCTCTACAGAATAAAGAAACCCAGCTCTCCCAGGCTCTCCTTGTAGGACTGGTGCTCCAAGACACTTCATCAGCTTTGTGGCTCTTCAGTGGATGTACTGCAGTTAGGTCTGTTTCTCTCTTGTACTTGGAAGGCCCAGAACTGGTCACCGTATTCCAGATCAGGCACCACCAGCACTGAGGAAAGAGTAACCTTCCTTTTGTTTGCTCACAACACTCTTCTCCAGAAAGAGCAGCTCAACATACCACCGTCCTTCTTGACTGCAAGGGTGCATTGCTGGCTCATGTTAACCTAGGGGTTCATCAGAACCACCAGTTCTTTTTCTGCCAGCTGGCCTTCCAGTCAATCAGCACTCTCACTGTACTGGTCTGTGGAGCTGTTCCTGCACAGCTGCAGGACTCAGCACAGTCCTGTTCAGCTTCAGCTCATTTTTTAAGTCTGTTGATGTTCCTTTGAATGGCAGCACAGCCCTCTGACATACTGTCAGCTCTTACCAGTTCAGTACTGTCTGCAGACTTGCTAAGAGTGTGTTCAGTCCCACTGGCTAGGCCACTGATGATGTTCAACAGAACTAGCTCCAGTACTGTCACCTGGAGTATAGGACCACTGACTGCTTTTTTTTCCAGTTAGACTAGCTGTTCTGAAGAGGCTGTTTCAATTTCTGAGTGGTCCTATTGGAAGAGCCTGTGATCTTTGTGGGTCCTTTCCAACCCAGCATATTCAATGACTCTATACAAGTATCCAAGAAATTACACATTGATGATTCATACTTTCATCAGGACAATGTGTGATGCCCCTCCATCTGTTGGCTCCAACACAGAGAAATGGCACAACAACCATCTACTTACTGCCCTCAAATACTATACTGTATATTTAAGTGAAGGCAAGCACCAGCAGCCTGACAACAAACTACTACTACTTCCAAGTAAGATACAGATTTCTTTGTAATTCATTTTACTTCACTGGGAAATATACTAAACAAAGGAACAGAAACTGAACTATCAAGATGGTAGTACTGACACGTGAAAAAGAGATTTATTTTGTTGTGCTGATAAGTTCAAAAAAGCATTAAAAAAATTCAAAATAACAAACCTGCTGGAGCTACGCGATCTTCTTGAAGAGCTATAGCTTCTTGGGGGAGTTCTGGATCTCTTATCTTTCTTCTTTTTATCATCTCTCTCTTTTTCTCGCTCCCTCTCCTTATCCCCATCTCTTTCCTTTTCTTTTTCTCTTTCTTTCTCTTTGTCCCCTCCCTTGTCCTTATCTCCCTCCCTATCCTTCATCTTCTCTCTATCTTTCTCCCCATCTTTGTCATCATCTTTTTCTTTGTTCTGATCTACATCTTCCCTGTCTTTTTCCTTTTCATCTTTCTCCTTTTCCCTTTCCTTGTCCCTGTCTCTATCCCTATCTTTGACTCTCTCCCGATCTTTGTTTCGATCTTTGTCTTTATCCCTGTCCTTATCCCTGTTTCTCTCTTTATCTCTCTCTCTTTCCCTTTCTTTGTCTCTATCCCGGTCTCTTTCCTTCTCCTTGTCTCGGTCTCTCTCCTTTTCTTTGGTCTTTTCTTTTTCCTTGACCTTTTCCTTGTCTCTTTTCTTGTCCCTGTGAAAAGCCAAACACAAATCCATTAACTCATCTTCGAATTTCCTAATAAAAACTACAACTAAGTCTTCAGCACACAGCAAATGCTCAAGAGAAACTATTTCTGTTGAAAAATAACTATTATGCAAAATTCTACTTTTGCACTCAAATTTATCATGAGGGGGAGACTAAATAGCTAGGAAATGTCTGCAAATTAGAAATCAAATTCGTTTGTACTGAGCAATGGTACTAAAGTTTCTTTACCTCATAATTCTTATTACATACAGACAGATATTCTACATTTTCTCAGAACTGAGACAAACACTACCATTTCTAAATCCATTTCTTACTAAAATTGGATCCGTATAACAGAGACTGAAAATTAACCAGCCCCATATGAATACTGACAGAAATCTTAAGTCTACAGTGCTCTCTCACATCAACATTCGGAACTGCTTGCAAGTCCAAACCAGTAAATACAGAGAAACCAAAACCAGGGGTTACATTTCACTGATTAAATTCCCCCGAAAGGCAAATGTAAGGTCAAAACTCAAGACAATTCAATCATCTGTAATGTAATCAGGAATTTGAAAATTATCTAACTGTAAGAAAGTTTATATGACAGCGAAAACATAAGCAAGGGTAACAGATCAAGTTAACTTCCATAGAACAAGTAGAATTACACCTGTTCATAAAAGGAACAATTGTGAGAAAAACTTATGCATATGTTCTAGTAACCAAGTCAAATAAAAAAACTGATTAAGTTATAGTTTTGACTGGAATACGACACTACCTTTTGGCAGAGGATTATTTGGAAGTGCAAGACTCCCAACCATCTCACCTAGTGGACATGCACATGAGCTGCCTCAAGGACATATGAAAATCAATAGTTGTTTAGACAAACAGGACAAAGCACATTATAAGAAGTTGATCAACAGGCCTTTTCACATCCACAGGAATCAGACTGAATTGCTGTTTCTTTTGGTATTGATATCTAGCCCAAGATTTTGAAAGATTCCCAAAGAGACCCGTTCAGACTGGAAAGACCCTAAGCACAGCCCTCACCTTTCTTCACTCTATCAAGTCTCTAGTTATATATTTCCTCAACTCCTACTTTATGTTCCGTACCTATCAGGTTCTGGCAAACACTTTTTTACATATCTCACAGAAACAATCTAAGTCCATAAAGACGAGACAGTGTGCTATCCCTACAATAGCAATGGATCTCACAATGCCACCAGAAACACCTTCCAGTTAATTATTATACACATTTCACTGGATTTCCTCCTTACAGTCAGTAGATATCTTAAAAAACTCTGTCAGACAAGTGCAAGACAGAATCAAAAACATTTTGTCAGCTATCAACAAAGCCTAACTACATAAAGTACTCCTAACTGTTCCCACCAAGGTCCAAAGATTCACAGTTCTCTTTCCCACAAAACTTCTCCTCTCAGTAAAAAAAGAGCTATGAAGCTCCCCTTAAATGCATTGGGGCATTAAAGAGATGAAAGAAGAAGAAAATTATCAAGTTTTCTACTATGAAGCTACTTCCACATGCACATTATAAATACTCTGTTGGAATTTCATAGGAAATCAGTGAATTTCCCAGTGACTGAAAAAGGGGAAATATAACCCCCTTTTTTAAAAACAGAAAATAAATAACTACAGTGCAGTCAGTCCCACCTCTCTGCCTGGCAAGACTGTGGAGCAAATCCCCCTGGAAACCACGCTAAAGCAGAGACTAAAGGGGATAGCCAGCACAGCTTCCCCAAGGCTAAATCACACCCAACAAATTTGGTGTCCTTCTATAATGGAATTACAGCATTGTTGGAAATGGCTAGAGAACTGATTTAATCAACCTTGACTTGTGCAAAGCACTTTATCCTTTCCTGCATGACATTCTTGTCTCTAAAATGGAGAGACATGTATTTGACAGACCACTCAGTAGATAAGGAATTGGCTAAACAGTCACATTCAGAGCGCTGCAGTCAATGGCTTGGGGTCAAAGTAGAGAGCAGTGATGCCTGGCGTTCCTCAGGGGTCAGTGTCAGGATTGATACTGTTTAACACCTTTGTCAGTGACATGGACAGCGGGATTGAATGCAACCTCAGCGAGTTCGGATGATATCCAGGGAGACCCTTAAAGGCTTGAGGAGTCTCCATGAATCTCATGAAGTTCAATAAGGCCAAGTGCAACATCCTGCACTTGGATTAGAACAATCCCAAACATGAACACAGGCTGGGTGGGTGCCCCGATAGACAAGTCTCACAGAGAAGTACTGAGGGGCAGTGGTGGACGAAAAACTGACATGAGTTGGCAACGTACTCTCCAAGCCCAAAAAACCAATCATATTCTGAGCTACATCAGAAAGCTGATTTCCCATTCTGCTCTGCTCTTGAGACAACACCTGGAATACTGCATTCCTATTGGAGGCTTCACCATACAAAAGACATGGAGTTGTTAAAAGTGGCTCCAGAAGAAAGTCTGCAAAACTCATCAGAGGGCTAGAGCATCTCTCTATAAAGACAGACTGAGAAAGTTGGGGTTATTCAGCTTACAGAAGAGAAGGCTCTGGAGAAACGTTAGAGCAGCCTTCCAATACTTAAAGAAGGTCCACAAGAAAGATGAGATTCTTCATCAGCGAATGTTGTGATAGGACAAGAGCTAATGCTCTTAAACTAAAAGAGGGTAAAATTAGGTTAGATATACCTTCTTTATTCAGATGGTGCTAAGGCAGGGGAATAGGTTGCCCAGAGAAGCTGTGGATATGAACAGTGGAGGTCACAAGCATGATCCCTCAGGGGTCAGTGCTGGGGCTGGTGCTCTTCAACATCTTCATCTGTGATAGATGATGGCATCGAGTGCACCCTCAGTGAGTTTGGATGACACCAACCTGAGCGGTGCAGTTGATACATTAGGAGGAAGGGAAACCATCCAGAGGCACTTGGATAGGCTGGAGAAGTGGGCCAATGAAAAACTAATGAAGGCCAAGTGCAGACAGATTAGGGGACCCTCAACCCCTTGAGAGCAGCCTGTGGAGAAGGACTTGGGGGTCCTGGTAGACAAGAAGCTGGACATGAGCCAGCAGTGTGTGCTTGCAGCCCAGAAGGCCAACTGTGTTCTGGGCTGCATTAAAAAAGGGGTGGCCAGCAGACAGAGGGAGGTGATTGTCCCCTTCTACTCGGCTCTTGTGAGGCCCCATCTGCAGTACTGCGTCCAGGCCTGGGGCCCCAGTACAGGAAGGATGTGGAGCTCTTGGAGCGGGTCCAGAGGAGGGCCACTAAGATGAACAGATGGCTGGAATACGTCTACTATGAGGAAAGGTTGAGGGAACTGGGCTTGTTTAGCTTGGAAAAGAGAATGCTTTGGGGAGACCTCATTATGGCCTTCCAGAACTTGAAGGCAGCATATAAACAGGAAGGGGAATGGCAGTTTCCAAGGATGCGTAGTGACAGGACAAGGGGGAATGGTTTTAGACTGAGACAGGGGAGGTTTAGGTTAGATATTAGGAGGGTGGTGACGCACTGGAACAGGTTGCCCAAGGAGGGTGGATGCCCCATTCCTGGAGGCATTCAAGGCCAGGCTGGATGTGGCTCTGGGCAGCCTGGTCTGGTGGTTGGTGACCCTGCACACAGCAGGGGGCTTGAAACTAGATGATCATTGTGGTCCTTTTCAACTCAGGCCATTCTATGATTCTGTGATTGTATGAACCATCTCTGGGAGTGTTCCTGGTCAGGCTGTACAGGGATCTGGGCAACCTCATCTACTGGAAGGTGACCCTTCCCAAGGCAGCAGGGTTGTAACTAGATTATTTTTAAAGGTCCTTTCCAACCCAAGACATTTTATAATTTTACATAGGTACAAACATGGAAACAGGACTTCTATACAGAAGTTTAGGTAATTCAATATAAAAATCTATGTTCTGTTCTTCTGCCTCACAAACAAAGCCTAGGAACAGGATGAAGCATTTATGCTCCATGCTTTACCGTCGCCTAAAATATTTATTGGATTTTTTCAAAAACCTCGTACTGTAGCTAAGAAGAACATCATTTCTTAGGAATGGAAACTCACCGAGAGCGAGACCGACTCCTTGATTTCCGCCTTTCCTTAGATCTAGATCGTTTTTTCAGGGGACTTCTGGATCTGCGCCTGTCCTTGTGTCTTGAGAGCGATCTGTTGCCAGACCGACTTCTATATGAACAAGATAAAAAAGAATACTTTAATAATGAAACTTCATAAATATTAGATCAGTTGAAATGGAAAAAGATATAATAATATGGCCTCGATATGAAAAATTACATAGGGTGGCATTTTAGTAATTCAGTGCCTAACGTTTTTCTAAATAAGCTTACTTAAAATTTAAACTGGTGCATATGCTCTCTTTTGAGATTCATCATTAAAGTATTAAGTTTTATGAATATTCTGGAAAAATCACAGTGGGATAGCTTTCCTTAGAAAATTAAGGTATTTAAGATCTAAGATCAGCTTGTAAAAATAGTTTTTTTCTTCCTCAGGTCCAATCATTTATTGCAGTTTTGGTCACTTGGTTGGTTCTCCAAATAAAAAACCAAACCTATCATTTGTGGTTCAGAATTTAGAAAAGTTATCACTTCAGATGGAAGGATTTGTTAGCACAGATTTAACAATTCTCAAGATTCAGAATGAAAATTTACTTCATGATGAAAAATGATGAAAAAAAGGAATGAAAATAATGTGCAGAAGCTCCAACTGAAATCCAACTGAAGTCTTCTGACAAAACTATTTAGATCACTCTAAAAGTAATGCCTCCTACTTATTCCCATGTAAACTATAAGCAACACAAAGAGCACAATAATACTACTTGGTACAGCAAATTCAGTTACATAATACTCCTTTTCAACCCAGTCAATACCACTAGCTATGCATTTTTAAGAGCGATGAACAAAAGCCTCCATCCTGCAATCTTCAAAACCTGCAAGGCTGTCTGAATTGTCTTTCGTGTTGCTGTCAGCCCTGCTGAAATATACTACCCAAGGCCTCACAGTACTCACATCCACTGTTTGTTCTCCATAAACATTCAGCAAGCACCAATGAACATCAATGAGTGCCATATTTTTTTGCATGGAGAAATTCAATGACAAAGCTTTGCTTTGTGCACATTTCCTTATCAGACACCATTCTATCAGACTGTACCCCTACTGCCATCTGTCACATAGCAACAAAATGCAATGGAATACTGGTGGGAAGCTCCAACCTCTACTGACATACCACCAACGTTCAGATTAGATGTTGCAGGCCAACATAATAGAATAAGAGTTATTACTTTCGGAGCAGTTATATATATATATATATATATATATATATATATGCTCATATATATATGGAGCACCCTATTATACACTGTATATACTGATATACAGTACAGTCTCAGATTTGGTAACGAAAACAGCACTTCTAAAAATTACTGTAGTCTGTTTTCCCCAGTATTCACCATTTTTGGAAGATCGTATTCCTAGGAAAATTAAAATAAAAAGGTAAATTTGAATATTAGATTTCAAACAACACATTATTTGAATACTTTGCCTGAAAGGTTCATGTACAACAAAGTTCAACTTATCAAAGACAGAAAAGCCATGTATTTACTCAATAAATCCTGAAGAACGGGAAGACAGAAAAAATAACAGTTCTATCTGTCTTCTGCAGCTCAAGACATACAGAATAAGGATATACCAAGAGGAGAGGAAAGGCAACCTTTTTTTAGCTACCACTTTGCTCCACATCACTGTAGTGTAGAAACTAACTTCAGGGCAAATTAATTACAACTTGGCCAAAATAAGCTCCTAAATAAAATTTGTACCATAAAGATGAAAGAGATATGGAGATGATTAAAAGCCTAAACAGGACAATGGGAAGGACATTTTATTCTTAGGGATGCATTTGTTTCAGTGGATCAGCCTGGCTCTTTTTGCAGCACGTAATTAAAATTGCTGGTAACAGATGCAAACTATACTTTTAAAAAGTGGTATCAACAAATATTTGAAAGTGCAGATTTCTTAAAGTGAGGAATGCAAATTTATTTTCTAAAACTCAATCTAATTTGTGTTGTTATGAAACAGCGCAGACATCGCTGGAATGTTACACCAACACAGCTTTTCAGTCATATCTCATGTTACAGAAACAGCAGAGCAACAGAAACAGCTTGCAATAAGGAAGTGACCAAATGACTATTCTTGCATTAAAATGGTGCCCAATGGTCTGATGTCAATAGATAACGTACTGTGTTGTCCCTCTGCTACAAAACCCAAACCTACACTTAGACCATATTTCACTGGGAGTACAATCCACTTAGTGTGCACTTCTACTCAAGCTTTTCTTTATATATTGTGCTCTCCCATTAGAACACAATGTCAGAAAAGATGCAACAAAGTTGTTTCTGCAACTTACCTTTCTAAAGTGTAAACTATCTAATAAATGTTGAGTGTTTTTTCCACACCGAGAATATACAAATACCTTTAGATTGATTACATAAATGCTCAGAAGTCACTGAAAAAATACAAAACATTTTCAGGACATGCCTGTAAGCGTCACATATCAATACTGCCTCATTCATGGGAAATAAATTTATGGACTAATTTTAACAGTGATCTAGTTGCTTCATTTCCTCCTACACTCCAAAGTCTGCTTCAGAAGTTAATAAATTTAGCAAAGCAAACAAACTGAAGAAAGGAAAACTGTCCCTTGAGCCTTTTTCTCTTGGTTTCTAAAAAATTTAACCACATTTACATTACAGTAAACAGAAATACTGGTTCTATTAATTCCATTAATTCAAGACAGCACGGGAGCTTCATACTAGCAAAACCAGTCAACCTATCAGTTTAGAGTAGAGTTAACAGTAAAAACTGTTCTGGACATATAATGCAGATAACTGTTAGTTTTTAAAACATGGAGGTCATAGAATGAAATATGCTACATAGCATTGATGTGTCTACAGATAGCATCTAGTGTGTTTTTACTGAATGTAATCTTAAAAACACTAGAGCAAAAGAGTATCTGTTCAGAGACAAAGATTCCAGTTACTCTGATCTAACCAATATAAGCTATTCATGTATTCCATAGCAATACTTACTTAAAAAACAACTTCAGTACTGAAGAAAAACAGTATCATCTCTTATTACAAAAGAAAAAAAAAAACACCTACCTGTGTTTTGAATGTGATCTTTTCCTTCTAGATCGGGATTTTGAGCTAGACCTGGATTCTGAACGAGAATGGGAACGAGATCGACCGCCTTTTCTTTCACTGCTCTTTCCAGACTCTGAGAGGAAAAAACCACTTTGCAGTGTAAGCTCAGAACATTTAAAGATCCCAGTTAACAATCTGGCACAAGTGGAATGTACCACATATAGTACAAGGGGCCTACTCTTTGCACATCTTCCTTCTTTGCAAATATCCTTCAGAAACATCCAAGAAAGTCATTGCATATACTCGTTGAGTGCAGCCATCCTGCAGCAGTACACATAAACCAGATAATTATAAACAGCTAGCTCTATTAGGAAAGGGATTTATGTTGCTGCCACAATGCACAAGATTACAACACGTTTGCCTCTTGGTATATTATTAATGTAACTATTAAAAAAAAAAAATACCCTGAGAAGAACAGAGTAAATTAGAATACAGGGCATAATTTTGAAAACAAGCATAAAATATGAATTATAATACTTTCTGGTCTTTTAGACATTTACACCACTGTACAAATATTCAAATTATAATCCACAAGGAGAGGAAGGGATGGAGAGAAAAGGTTGAAAAGTTTGATCCAAAGGCCAGTAAGCCACCAGTGACCACAGTAGACTTTGGTTCGGACTCTTTTTAAAAGGTTACTGTTCTGCTGCTTTACACTGAGGAAATGCTAGAGCTATTTTTATTCCAATGCCAAAAATGAGAAAAAACTCAACTCTCTCCAAAAACTTAAGACTCCTCGTAATCTAATGTACATAAAGTCTGAGTTTGTTAATAAAATGACAAAAGCTCACTGATCTAGAGAAAAAGGATGATGTCAATAAGGTTAACAAAATCAGATTGTTTTATGCTGTGATTTAGAAATCAGAACAAGTCTGCAAAAATCAACACTGAATATCAGCATCCAACCTCTCAACCCATGAGAAATCTTCCTCCTAGACCAGCCATTGCAGTGTTAACAGGGATCAGGCAACTAATATGGATGAAAAAGAGTCCATTATAACACTGTTTTATCCCAAATTCATTTCTGATCCTATTTGCTTTATAGTTGCTCAGTCTTGAGCCACCATGAAAAAAAGCACAGTGACAGAGACAAAAGTAATGTGCTATAGATTAAGAAAGCATAATATCGGTGCTTTGACCTGAATGCTAGCTCTCTCTGATCATGAAACCATGGCACTAATGTGTGCTAAAGAATGAAACAAAGCATAAAGCAATTTCATGGTAAATATTTCTATGTATTTTCAACTTAAAGAAGCATCAACATTCAATGCATTTGCATTGTCCTCCTGTTTTTGAAAATGCTCAGTAAGCATGTATGTGAAGACAATACATGTCAAAATAAAAAAGCCAACTTCCACTGCTCTGTTACATGAAGGCAATTGTGATTACTTTCATTTCTTTCTACACATGTTATTCAGCTACAAGTAACCTTTTCCTGTGTCTGAAAGTGCTCTTAATAGCAGGTACCAAGGTGTACAAAAAACATGTCTGTCAGATAGTAAATGTAATATACGTACCTGGCTCAATAGCAGCAGATATGAAAGACTGAGCTTCCCTTACTCTCTTCATCACTTCTTCCAGTTCCTTGGCAGCAGCCTGCGGTGTCATTTCAGGAGGCTTCACTATTGCATTATTGGAGTGATTTATTCTAAATTAAGGAAAAATAAAACATTTATTTCACAAATATTTGAAAAAGAAAATGAAAAATAAGAAAGGAAACCATCTCAAATTCGTGTCTGACTAAAAATTTTGAAGTTAGTAAACTACATATTTTTCATCATGCTCATCTGCTGTCTAAATACCTGAAATGTGTGCCTTTTATTCCTTCCAAATATTTTAAATAAATAAGGTACAGTATTTCTGTGTCATTCTGAATAAATAAAGGCTCAAGTCTAGGAATCTAGCTTTCTATTTCAGATTAAATTTTAAACTTAAAACTCATTACGGAGTCATCTATATATAATGACTCTGATCAGCTAATCAGTTGTTGTGGTTTAGGAAGAGTCAAAGAGCACAGCTGAAGTAAAATATATAATGAAAAGCTTTATCAGCACCAACGACCTTGCAGATTCTTTCCTTGTTAAAGCATTCACTACCTCAAGATTAAATGTAAACATATTTTACTCTCTGCTAATCACATTCTTCTTAGAGGAAGTTATATCCAATTTTGAAACACTTAGAAAAGTGTTTCAGTTTGTTAACAATAGATCCTTATATTGATAAAATATTCACTACTGTATCTTCCTGTAGATCAGAGTCATAAATATATAAGAATACTGTGAAATCTTTCATTCCATAAGCCTATGGATAATTAATTTCTTACTTTAGTGGCCTGTCTCCAAACATAACTCCATTAAAGGCAAGAGCTCGAGGTACAGAATTTTGGTCTGCAAATTCCACAAAAGCAAATCGTGTTGGTTGAGTCTCATCACCTGCCATTCGCACAAATTTGACTTCTCCAACTTGCTTAAAGAATTCAAGCAGCTGATCAGCTGTTGTGGTCTAGAAAGAGTCAAAGAGCACAGCTGAAGTAAAACATATAATGAAAAGTGATCATATAATGTATTAGGTAATAAAAAAATCTCTACTTTCAGTAAAACATCTTTCCATGGCTTCACAGGTGACACAAATTTGGCTATTTTACTTTTTTTTTTCAGACTTTTTTTTCCTTTAATCTAAAGAAAATACTACGAGTTAAAATATTGCAACCAAAAGAACTATATTTAGGCTGTAAATAAACTTGCATAGGATTCTGAGCTTTCCAAGCAACCTTTCTGAAATAACTGATACACATATGTCCGAGCTATTTCTGCTACTACGACTTTTAATCAATTAAAAAAACAAACAAACAAACCAATATCACAACATTTAGCTTTTATCTGTTTTTCTACTAGCTTACAACTCATTTGATTTTACTGCAATCAACTGAACTTTTACACTCTAACAGCTACTTCAGCAATCAAATGAAACTCCCAAACAAATACTACCAGTGCCATCCATCAAAGCAATTGCTTTTCGATCAATAACTACTGAAAATAAATACTTCAGACACTGAGCTTTTCTATCACAGAAACATGAAGATTCTCAGGCTGATTTTGCAACTTCCACTGGGAGAAATCATTAACCTTCTACTGTATTTCAGGTGAATGCCTTTTTACTGTACTTAAGATCTGCACACTATTGTGGTGAAGGACGGCTATTATGATCTCATGTCTTCTAAGGTATTATTCAGCTAATACAACACAGTTGATTAATACACACAATCTTCTTACGTATGCATCCTCAATTCTACTGCACTGTGACTCTTCTGGTACCCTGCTAGAGTGACTTCCACAATCTGGTCTGACCTGGTTGGTGCAGGAGCATTCAGAATTAGAAATATCACTAGTAACCAAAAACAGTCTAATTTATTTCTTTGGTTAAATTGACATCATCTAACAAGAGCTCACAATTCTTGTCTTCCATTAGTATTTCCCACACACACAAATAAAGAAAAATAATAATTAAAAAACAAAACAAAAAAAAAAAAAAAAAAAAACACCAAAAAAAGCTACCTGTGAATTCAAGTTTCCAACATATACTGTTCTCCTGATTTCATCAATTTTGGATGGGTCCACATTCCCCATTATTGGTGGCTGGGGTATTTCTCCCAGTGCAGTAATGTTAGGGTCCAATGCTGCTGCTGGTATTGCTCCCAGAGTGCCAAGTGAAACACCAAGCTGGAAGAGACAGAGAGAATAAGGCACAATCGTTTACTTCCAAAATGCTATTTACCCTTAAACAAAACAATAAAAATATATCTGCAGCCCTCTGGGAATGGTTTCGTTTTCCCTGCTATATACACAACATATCTTTTTTCATGTTATAAAATAATCATCGCTATGACAGTAAAAGGCAGTGTAAACAGCTTTTCCTCACTTACAGAGTGACCCATAAAATTGGCTGAAAACAATACGAAAAAACATTTAATATACATTTATATTTTATTTTTAGATTTTTTGAATACCAAACATACTTTACAAAAGTTTTAACATGAGCTAAATACTTTCCTTTTCAAAAGTATCAACTGACAATGTTATGCTATGGAGTAGAAAGAAGCACAAATCAGCACGAATGGTCTAATTCACAAAGTCTTCTGGATCACAAGCTGTTTCACAGAACTAAGTATATTGTACTAGCATATAAAAACAATTTCAAGACTCAGTAAGCGCCATTTACCACAGCTTGCTACTGTCTAAAAGACAAAATGTAAATAGAAATGGAATACTGATTAGTAATACCTTCACTTTAAAAAAAACAATCTCTTCAAAGCAGCTAGTCTAGCTGTAAAAACCAATCAGTGGTGTCCTATGTTCCAGCTGACCATCCTGAACAATTTGTTGAACTTCATCGGTGGCCTAGCCAGTGGGACTGAACTCTCAGCAAGTCTGCAGACAACACATAACCAGGAAGAGGTGGCAATACACCAAAGGGCTCTGCACACGGGCAGGAACAGCTCCACAGACCAGTACAGTGAGAGTGCTGATTGACTGGAAGGCCAGCTGGCAGAAAAAGAACTGGTGGTTCTGATGAACCCCTAGATTAACATGAGCCAGCAATGTACCCTTGCAGTCAAGAAGGACGGTGGTATGCTGAGCTGCTCTTTCTGGAGAAGAGTGTTGTGAGCAAACAAAAGGAAGGCTACTCTTTCCTCAGTGCTGGTGGTGCCAGATCTGGAATACGGTGACCAGTTCTGGGCCTTCCAAGTACAAGAGAGAAACAGACCTAACTGCAGTACATCCATTGAAGAGCCACAAAGCTGATGAAGTGTCTTGGAGCACCAGTCCTACAAGGAGAGCCTGGGAGAGCTGGGTTTCTTTATTCTGTAGAGGAGAAGGCTGAGGAACGTTCTAAGAAAACACACAAGTTTCTAGTGGGAGAGTGTAAATGAAGACTGTAAGAAGAGTGGAGACAGATTCTTCTCGGTGGCCAGTAAAGGAGCTACAGAAAATGGAAAAGCAGTGTCCAGCTTGTTCACATGATTAATTCTGAAATATTACATCTGTCATCCTGAGTTCCCTCGAGAAATTTACAGATGATCCAAGTATAGTGGATGATTTGTAGCTTTAGCTAAGTAAACTATCTCCTTGCCTTAAAAGTCTCATTATGCCAAGCAGAAACACCTTAAAACCAGAAGGATTACCAATGGTAAACAAGAACTCTCTAGAGAAACATGGTCTCAGCACACAAAATAACTGTAATCCAGAGCAGCATTTTGTAAGTTTCTCTCCTACAATTACAACAAAAGCTTATTTCCCTGGCAGTTTTTACATAAAACACTACACCTTGCACCCTAAACTTTGCTCATAGGTAATGTATAAACACACTGTAGGTAATGCAGAAACACAGTAATGCATAAGCAGAACAAACATGAAAGAAGTATTTCAAAGGTTTAAGATAACTGATACTGCTACCTGTTGTTATCCTTCCAGTCTTCCAAAATGACAGCTTCATCATCTGTTTAAACTTAACCAGTTCCCTTTAGACAAGGAAAGGGGCAATCCTGATTTCTTCTTTTTACAACAGACTTGTTACAATTTGTAAACCAGATAGACAAAGGGAACTGTTATGAAAAAACAACTGTATTCTATACCCCTCACCAACTTGAAAAAAAGCCATGTCAGATGAGACTTCTTCAGGTAATAGACTATATGAACACTAGCATAATGCAGAAGAGTGGAAATGCAATGCCAGTAGCACCTCTTTTGGCTGCAGCACAGATTCAGACAAGCTTCAGGAAGATAATAGGCAACTCTTATCTGTAGTTAACTGAATAACTGAGCCTCTCAAACAGCTGGCTGGAGAAAAAAGCAAGGGAACAAGACCTGAATCTTTTCCCTGGAATCCCAATCCAAAGCACCAGTGTTTCACATCCTTCGCTAAGCTCAGTACAGTGTGTCAGGATGATGTAGGTCAAAGAAACTCATCCTCATTCTTTTAGTGAATTTGTCATGCTTCATGAAGGGTACAATACTTTCTAGGTTCTGGAGAACCCAGAAAGACAAAGAATCACACAGATAAAGTGGAATGTACAGTCAAAAGCAAGAAGAGTAATATCAGATTACTAGTTCAGAGGCTTTAACTTGTCAGACTAACTACCCCTGCCTGGAAAAATTACAAATTTCCCTTTGCTGGAGAGTTACTTCCTAGAGAATGAAGACAATATGGCTCTTGTTTTTACTGGCTACTGAAGTTATAAAAAATTACTAAGAAAACGCTATTAAACCAGTCTGCTGAGTTCTTGGTTTAAATTTTATTTCTTACAGAAAAAGAAGCTACTTTTCTAACAGGTGAAATTTGTGTTAGAAATTCTCAGCAAGACACTCGTTTGTTTTCTTTATTATGTAACAAAAGACAAAACTACTCTGCTTGCTGAAATCATTCTTTTATTACTGAACAGAAATTGTCAGACAACTTGCCTTCCTCTTTGATAGTCTGCTATTCACCAATAATTTATTAAAGATGTATATAAAAAAAGAGTCAATTTACTTTAGAGGGTTAGTTTAGTATCCCAAATAGTATCCCAAATTCCAATAGTAATTATGATTGAATAGCAGCAATTATGCACAAATAAGCGTATTTTAGTTTATTAAATACCTAAATTATTACTTCATCAAACAGTGAGGGTAATATCATATAACTTTACAGGAAAAAAAAAGCCAGCATCCTTGTGAATTAAAGATGATTTTCAATGCCATGTGATTTCTTTTATATAGTGACAGTTAAGAACTATAAATTAAATCTGACTGTTGACTGTGGTCCTGTGGTTTCAGGGTAGAAGTTGGATAGTCTTAAATAGCTGCTGGAGCACAAGCTTTAAAAAATATACTGCCCTCAGTGCATATTTATTAAATATTAAAAACAGTTTATGCAGTGTTTTAACGGAAGGGAAGAAAGAAGAAGTAAACTAAACAATATTCATTTCTTCTAGGATGCTTACCAGTATCAGCTAAGAATAGCAAGTGGGAATAACAGTTCTGGTAATTGAGACAAACGGGAATCATTAGAGGAAAGTTTAGAAATTGTATTCAAATTAAAACAAAACAAAAAAACAAAAATGGATGATAACAGTAATATCAGTAGCACACAGCTGCAACATGTTTGGAAAACTGAAGACTCTCATCTCTAAATAATACGGAGCAATGACACCAAGCCCAGTTTTTCTGAAGCAGGCTTTGCTATTTCCAGACTTTTTCCTGAACCAGGCAAAACTGCCTGATGATGCCAAGATAAGCTTACAGAAGCAGATGGGAACTGAGAAGTAGCAGCAGCAGCAGGTAGCTCCTGAGCTTTCTGTAGTGAAAAAATTGCTAGGTAAAGAGACAAAAGCCATGACAGAGGAATATTAAATAACAGCATCCCAACATAACATTTCGACCTACGCCAGTTAAGCTATTATGCTTTAACTAACTTTTAGGAAGTGGATAGTATTGCCAGTGGATCAAATTAATGGGTCTAGGAACAGAAAACACAGACACAATCAAAATCAGTATTCACCCACTATTCTGCAATTTAAAAATACAAAAGGAAAACTCAGGAAAAGTTAGGCACAAACATCTTGTGATCTACCTTCAAAAGGGGCACCACAGCTAAGCCCTCAATGACTTGATACACAAGAGGACAACATCAACGTAGCATACATAGCTTTTATTCTCATAACATAAAAATGCTGTTCAACACAGATGAAACCAGAAATCAAACAGCATCTGAATTTTACTTACTGTTGTTAAAGGCGTTGGTGTAGGTATTGGAAGCAACCCTGCACCAGGCATCAGGCTTGTCATAGTAGGAGCAGGCGCCAATAGAGAAAGGGCTTTGGCTTCATCTGGGATTTTACCTGAAGAAGCAAATGAAAGCATTATACAGAGCTGGAACACTACACAAATGTTACTCTTACTATTATTTTATAATTACCCTTGCATTTAAAAAGGTAATAAATAAGAATGAATCTATCTACCAGATCCTTACAAAGAAACAAATAAGAACTTAAGATTTTCCTTTTACCCTGCTCTACTAGGAAAAACAAAAGTGAGAAAAACTTCAAAGAATAGTAAACTCATTAATGGATCATTATTTTAAAAACTGAATATGTACACAATTATTTAACACTTTGAGCTATGGGTCACCTGTACTGGAAACTTAATGTTCATGAACCAAACGATATCAAGCATGGACGCTTTCCCAGGGCGGTGCTTTCACGGTGATCGAAAGTTGTTTTACACATGACAACCGTTCGTGTTGGCTGCATCACTAATAGCACACAGAACATCAGATACAGAAAAGAAGAACATTTTTTAAAGTTTAATCCCCAGAAATGGCAAATAACCAAATCAGTAAAAGAAAAAAAAAAGAAAAAACATGTATGAGCTAACTGAAATTTGTGCTTTTTTCTCTACTTTGATGCTACCTACTTTTGATGTAAAAATAAATAAAAATTAAATAAAATCTCCTGTGATTCAATACACATTGCAATTGAACTTGGGGGTTTGGGAAGGAATAAAAATCTATATTTGTACTGTCTTACATTTTAAGTCATCTCAGTTTATCTGAAAATTTCATGAATTAGCTGTAAGTTTAATGACGTTGAAGAAAATCCTAACTGATCAACTGAGCAATCCATATTTTCCTAAACTATGTATTTTGTACCATTTCAACCACATTACATTCTCCCTATTATGCTAACGGTTTAAATAGTAAGTAATCTGTCTTAAAACACAGGTTTCATTCAAATTTACTTACATTAAGACTGCTAAATTAACTCCATAAAATCTTCAAAAATTAGAAGTTGTATATATAGCTAGCTAGCTAGATTAATTGTAATGTAATAGATAAGACAATTAAATGTGTCTATTAGATTTGAAATGCCAAGGGGTCTAAACTAGAACAAACACTAAGCACGCAAAAGAAAAAACCTACAGCAGCAACTTCTACTTATACCTGGTATCAATTCTGTTTCCAAAACTCCTGGCATAATTCTATATATGCTAACTACTGAGCCCTTTGTTATTACCACAGGCATTTTAATAAAGTTTTTATTTAAACATTTTTTTAATAGTCGAAGTATCCACAGCACTTTTCTTTAAATAAAACTATCTATGTTTTATCTGTTAACCTCTAACTTCAATAAAAATACAAAATACTAGGTAAGTTTCAAAACACTGTAGTTTTAACTGTTTATGAGTTTCAATAAAACCTACAGGAATTATACTGCTTTTAAAAAAATAAAGACAAAAAAAAAGTATTGCAAACCAGTACTACAGATCTGCAGCAGGGACTGGGTTACAACTGGATGTGACCAAAAAACAAAACATATCTGAATGAAAATTAATTTATATGTAGCATACATGAATAGAAAAGATAAAACAACAGTACCCATTTTTCTCTCAAGCCTCCTATTTACATTATTTTATTTATGTTTAGTTTTGAGGCACCTTGCTCCTTAACATGTAACAAACCACTTGATTTTCTATCTAAAGGAGAAAAATAGGAAAATAATTAGCACTCAAGAATTAACTGCGCAATAATGTCTTCCAGGGCTTTTTAAAAAACATGCATGAATCTGAGTCATCACAATGTTCAGCACAAACTCATCATGAAGTCAGGCATGCAAGGAGAGGTGCACCTGATCTGCCTGACTGCTCACAAGAATCGGGTACTTCACTGCATATCCTGCCTACTACATAGCTAACTAAACAGACTTTCAAGTATACAGTTCTACTAACTGTGCATGCAAATTAGGCATACAGTTATATACCAGTTCTTCTGAAAATCAAAGTACTGAAGTGCTTTCAGATGATTGATGAACTAGGCCATTAACTACCAGATGTCTTCATGAATAGCCAGCTTCTTGCAATTAATCCTCATGCAGGTTTCCACAGAATCTACACATGTGGATCAAGTAAATTCAGTGACAAAAAAGCCTTCTATAATGGTGTCTGTGCTCTTTTGATCCTTGGCCAGCAACGTACATAAGCATATGCCTAATTTAAGTATGCACTTACATACAGCCAATACAATACACAGTTAACCAGATAAATTTTTCAGATGCTTAAGGCATTTTGCCCTTTGAAACAGGAATGGAGTTAGGCACATAATTAACAGACAGTGAGTTAAATTCAGAGAATTAAATATGAGCCTAAATTTTAAGCACACGGGCCATCTTACTGAAATAATACGAATTACTCATTTGCTCAAACACTGCTTAAAGAATCAGGTGAGCACTTTCAGTTAAGCCACCTATAAAAGAAGTTCAAAGAAAGAAGAGCACACATGTCTAAATAATAACAAACTAGCAGCGTTATCTCCAGAATAACTAGGGTGCCTAACAACGTAGTGTTTTGTTTTAATAGAAACTCCATTTGGTCAGTCCCACACTATAAAAAGATCTTCCATGCCTTTTTTTTTTTTTCTTTCTCCCCCCACAACTACTGCCTTTTCACAGATTCTTCCTCCAGCTTTTAAGAGCAGCTCAATCTTTAGATCAACTTCATAGAAAATAAACTGGGGGCAAATCTACCTTCCTGAACAAATCAATATGTGAAGCTTATGTAACTTAAAAACAGCCTTTATGTTTTGGAGCTTAATCTCTATAAATTTATTAGTAAGAGAATACGAGCCCACAAAGATACACAACATGTGGCTTGCGAAAAATCAAGTTAGGAAACTTTCAAAGCTGTTTGAGATAACCGATTTGGTTTTGAAATTCATGCTTTGAAACTCAAGCTAAATGGAAATGAGCTAAAAATATTTACTTTCTAATAACGGAAACAGATAAATATGTCACACATATATCATATCTGCAGAAATATTTCTTGGATGCTTTTGACTGTTCAGTAAATAATAGATTCTGTGATCATTTACTTCATTCCTCTCTGCTCTGCAATGTGATCTGGAAGTAAATGTAGATTGGCTCCACGCTGCTCAGAGGTATCTCAGGCTTCCTTTTAGCACAGCAGTCTTGTTCTACATACATGTTATAATTGTTACTATCTTGTATCACTTAGCCAACCTGGTTCATACCAGCAACCATTTTGCTAAGTGCTCCAGAGAAATGTCTGTGCTAAGGAGGTAGTAAATGTAACTTGTTTTTTTTTTTTCCTTCCAAGTGTGCAGCAGAAAGTAATTTCCTGTTCTCCATACTTAAACTATGTGCTTAATCCTCACTGTAGAACAGCCTCAGCAGTAGGTTTGTTTTAAAGACATCTTCTGCTCACATCTACTTCAGACATAATTTAAAACAGGTTGTTATTTTCCTGCCATGTTAAGTCAGTGGCCAATGCACTTCAAAGTAACTTCTGTGTGATCCAGTTCATGACTCTTATTGGATTTAGCAGCAGTAATTAAAGAGATTAAAATTACTGGCAATTACCTCAACTGCCACAAATAAATCCAAGAGAGATCATGAAGCAAAGCTCTTCCCAGTTCACAGCTTGGTGCATTACCCAAGTGAAACCAATTGGTAATAATGCACTTAGCTGAGAAGAGCAATGCCTGAGGATGAGACACACCTCCTGGCCCACCGTTTCTGCTTCAGCGGTTCCATTTCAATGGAAGAAGAAAGAACATCACCTAGAGATGACAACCTTCTCAATCACCAACTGCCAGGGCTTGTGCAATGACTGAGAACTTTTAAAAAAATAAAATGTCTTCTTCAGGTAACAACCAGTGAAGCATATGTAAGTGCAATACACACATACAAACACACGCATACAGAACTGATTCAGTCCTCCCACAAACAACAGTTTTAAAAGACAATGTGCCTCACATAACACATTCTAATCAAAAACTCAGGCTGCTTTTGTACTTATGAGTGGTAAACAGTTTTTCTGAGGATGACATTTTACTGCCACTGACTTCACTGGAGCAAGATTTCATCAGAAGCAAGTATTTCAAGACATTCGATATCCATGAAATTTCAATTTCAGAAATAATTATTATAAAGTCTTTATGTTAGACATAAATGGAAAGCCTTCTTTTAAACAGACCATGCAATCTAAATAAAACTACTCTGCTAAGAAGAAGGACAAACAGCAGAGAAAGATTATCAATGTATTCTGTAAAGTTAGTGTCTCCAGAAAGCAAGATTTTTAACTGTCTGTTCCAAGAGGAAATCATAAAGCATAACATATGAAAGAACGCATCTTAAAACTCTTATTTTTCACTATTCCAGTCTTCTGTCCCAGAGTGCTCATCTGCTGAATTCAGATACTTAAATGTACTCCAAATGGAATTTATCCAAAATTTGCAGCATAAAACTCAACTAGTCACACTTTGCCGGATACCATCCACCATTCATAAGCAGCTTCAGGTCAAACTTCAAAATGAAACACCGTGAACCCTTTACAAAACACCATTTTTACAGAACTGAGGTACCAGTTCACAAGTACAAGGGAAAGAGATGTAACAAAACAAAAAGGGACAAAATAAAATAAAAATAAAATAAAACAAAATAATAATAATAATAAAAAAACAAAAAAACAAAGGAAAGAAAGCAAAATAAAATAAAAACAGAGACAGGGCGTCCATCTTCAGCAGGCCAGACTTCGATCTCATTTCCCCCATGAAGGTTTCACTTGACGGCAGGTTTAGTGGCATGGCAAACAATGCCTAACTCAGGCAAGTGTAACAGGTCTGCCTTGGCCAGTCTAGTCATCTAATAATGCACAAATATCACACAGAGAAAACATACAAAACCAAATTAATAGTCAAAATCCATCTACCAGATAATGTGGACATAAAATTTAGAATGATTAGGGTGGCATCTTTGTTATCTTTCAACCTTTGCATTCTCAAAGTGTAACATTTAAGAAAAAGCTACTCATACACACAAAAGAAAGTCACATTTTGACAGCTTGATAAAGTTACTTCATTTTTTTTTTTGTAACACTGTTTATTAAATGTCACAAAATTAACATTGATTTCATTGCATCCCTGTCCTCATGCCCCCTTGATTTAACATTGTTAAAATACACTCCAAATCAGATTTTATTCTGGTTTTTAAAACCAAATTTTCAGAGTTTCATTCTACATCTCGCCTACATTCAATTCGGCGCATTAAACATTTCACTCTTGGCACCATTAGCTAACAATATAATTTAACAATATAATGGTAAAATATAGCCATTACTACTTTTAAAACTTGTGATACACTCCACTGACTCCATTACCAATGCATCCTATCACACATCATGAATCAAAAATGTTGTCCTGTATTCTCCAGAACCATATCTACCCCACACAATAAACTCCTCAGGAAGTTAAATCTGTATGAATTCACATTTTCATAAATTAAAATCAATGACCCTAGAGAAAGTTACATGGAAACAGCATTATTACCATTAAAAAAATTTTCCTCGTAACCCAATCACTAGTTCACTAAATTATGCACAAACCCCTGCAAGATCTGGAATGATTTGGAACAATGATAATTTATGTGTGATACACTTTCTCAGAAACGCCCGCTAAGTCAGCTGCAAACGGGGCCGGAACAAGATTTTTCAGAACTTTCATTTCATTCTCCTTCCACTCACTGTCTACCATCAAGAGACACAGGAAAATGTAGCTTTACCTGCCTGTTGCCATACCACGTCAGGCAGTGATCTCATCACAAGAAAAACACCAGGAAGTGATGTTCATTCATTTGGCGACAATCTTCCCTCTCTGGCAGTACTGAACCAGTGTTAAGGTCTTTTGGATGAAACATAAAACTACAGTCCTGAATAAGCTACA